AGTGTATGGGGCAGTGGAGTACGATCTTTTGTAATCTAGGCCAGCGGATGACGGCTGCGGAGAATCACATAAGGATAAGAAGGGGTATCTTCCAGGGCGATTGTTTGAGTCCAATGTGGTTCTGCCTCTCTCTGAACCCTCTCAGTACCTTACTGGAGGGTTCCGGTTGGGGAATTCAGCTTCGGAAAGGAGGTACAAAAGTGACCCACCTTTTCTATATGGATGATCTCAAGTTATTCGCCTACAGTCGCTCCCATCTTATGGAATTGCTAAACATCACTTGTGATTTTAGCAATTCTATTGGAATGGAGCTGGGGATGGATAAGTGTGCGATCCTCCGTATCGAAAGGGGAAGGGTTGCTAACTCTTAAGGCATAGACTTATGAGGCGGGTATGAAACGGTCAGTTTGCGATGTGTTTTATGCACGCTTGACCAAAGTGCTTAATACCCATTTGTCCGATGTGAATAAGACGCTCGCATATAACGATTGAATCCGCAGTATAATGACGTCCCACAGGATGCATCATCTGCTCTCGTCAATAATGAGGCTATACTTGCCGCGGAAGCATGGTCGGTGCGGCTATTTAAGCGCGCTTACCATGCATAATCGCGAAGTGTGCAGCCTCCCTAATTACTTTCTGACTAGAGCGGATGATCCCTACTATAAGGACGTTATTTCTTGTGATAAAGGACTAATCCTTAGCCAACAAGCAATGGCAAGACCCGGCAGTACAGAGCATTTCCGACCGGGAGACCGTATGTAAGAAGAAGGAGCTCCACGGGAGGTTCTACAAGGCCCTTCATGAGCCTTTCGTAGACACAGTCGCCTCCCTCAACTGGCTACGTTTCGGTGACCTCTTTGGGAAAACTGAGGGTTTTGTCTGTGCAATACAGGATCAGGTTATTAAGACCAACAATTATCGGAAATACATCCTAGAGGATGGCGCCGTCGACATCTGTCGAGCTTGTCGCCATCCCGGTGAGTTACTTAGGCATGTCATCTCCGGTTGTTCGGCGCTTTCTAACTCTGAGTATTTGCACAGACACAATCTAGTAGCCAGGATTCTACACCAGGAGCTCACTCTGAAATAAGTACTTGCCGGAAACCGTGCTCGAAAATGACCGCGCCAGGCTCTACTGGGACCGGGCCATTATCACAGACAGGACTATTCTTGCGAATAAGCCTGATACTGTGCTGATGGACCGGGCACATTCAAGGATATTTTTGGTCGACATTACCATTCCTTATGACGAGAACCTCCTGAGAGCCGAAACAGATAAGCTGACAAAATATCTGGACCTGGCTCACGAGTTGACCGACATGTGGGGTGGTCTGCCGGCCCAAATTATTCCTGTGGTCGTTTCTGCGAACGGGTTAATCCCAGTCAGCCTCTCGGGTCATCTGTGGCGACTGGGACCCCGTGACGGACCGCTCCAAGCTCAAATGCAGAAGTTTCCGCATCGTCCGCCGGTTTCTTTCTCTTTCCCCCTAACCCTCGGCCGTTTGGTCTCCCCTGCCGAAGGCTGCCTTTTGGTTGAATTTTTATTTATTTTTTATGTATTTATTCTATTTTATTGATATTTATGTATGTTTATATCTCTCGTTTACAATTATGTATTTAAACAGACCAACCAGATGAGAAAACTTTATAGATAACCCAAATAATAAATATTTATTGCCATACAATAATAAGTTTACAAATTAAAAGTTTATAAAATAAGTATGCACATAAAAAATGATAAGACTTAAAAATTCTATAAAAAATGAACATTCACAATTAACAAATTAACTACTATTACTCAGTATACGTTTATAATGTGAGGCAACGGGCACAGGCTCAGTATTCGCTAGGCATTATGCTTAGCGCTGTTTTTCAGCCAGTCCCTTACTGTTTTGGGTATATTTTGGTCGCACGCACATCGTACTTAATTATGTATTATTGGTAAACCTCTTTAAAGTCAATATGTGTTATATAAAAATACTTTATTACAGAATAAGCATACAGCCATTCGGCCTAAAAAGACTTCTGTTTATGTAATAACTTCTTTTTATCAAAACTGGGCTGCGGCTTCGGCGACATGGGATGTAAACTCCAGCACACTTAAAAAGAAGTATAACTTCATCTCTAGGTCCATCAAAAGAGTTATTGCCAAGGCAAAGTCAGAGCACATAGGCAGGATTGGCGAGAAACTAGTTCGCCTTCCTTCGGTAACCCGTGCATTCTGGTCTCTCGCCAAGGCTGTCCAAGGGGAATTTCTGTAAGCCTACACTACCATCTCTGCAAAGGGAGGACGACTCACTGACCCAAGCCGCAAAAGACAAAGCCGACCTTTTAGGCTCCCTATTTGCATCCAACTCGACTCTTGATGACGCGGGGAAAACACCGCCGACCATCCCGCGATGTGAGTGCTCCATGCCGGATGTACGATTTACACAGCGCTCGGTTCGTAAAGCACTCTTCTCCCTGGACGACAGCAAGTCGAGTGGGCCTGATGGAGTCCATCCCATTGTGCTGAAAACGTATGCTCTGGAGTTGGCACCGGTTTTAACGCGTCTTTTCCGGTACTCCTACTCCCAAGGCGTAGTCCCGAATTCATGGAAGACAGCTTTGGTTCACCCGATCCCTAAAAAAGGCAACCGCTTAGACCCGTTCAACTACCAGGCCTATCGCCATAACCTCCTTGTTCTCCAAAATAATGGAATCCATTATAAACTGCCAGCTCATGAGGTACCTTGAGGATCATCGGCTGATTAGTGACCGCCAGTACGGTTTTCGTCGGGGTAGATCAGCTGGTGATCTTATGATCTACCTGAATAATAGATGGGCAGAGGCAGTAGAGTCCAAGGGGAAGGCATTGGCCGTTAGTTTGTACATAGAGAAGGCCTTCGATCAGGTCTGGCACAAAGCGCTTCTTTCGAAGCTTCTTTCCTATGGGCTTCCCGAGGAATTGTGCAAATGGATCACCAATTTCCTTGCTGATCGGAGCATCAAGGATGTATTAGACGGGGCATTCTCAATTTCAAGCCTATCAACGCTGGTGTTCCACAAGGCTTCGTGCTATCACCAACGCTATTTCTCCTGCATATCAATGATATGTTGCAAACTAGTAACATTCATTGCGATGCAGAAGACAGCACTTGTGATGCCTTATACATCGGCCGTGCCAATATTTCTCGGGGAAAATGTCGCCGAGTACCGGAACAAACTTGTGTCTGAAGTCGAGTCTTTGCTGAACAAAGTCTCGGATTGGGTGCGACTAAATCTAGTTCAGTTTAATCCTCAGAAGCTACAAGTTTGCGCGTTTACCGCTAAAAAGAACCCTTTTGTCGTATCTTATCAGTTTTAAGGTACTCCCCTTCTCGCCTCAGCCGGTATCGGAATCCTCAGAGTCGACATATCGAGTGACGTGCAGTTTGGTGCTCACTTGGAAGAGAAGGTCAAATTGGCCTCTAAAAAGCTTGTCGTGCTCAGCAGAGCGCGACACACCGGTATTTCATGCCGGCACACCGCCTGCAACTTTACAAGGCGCAGGTTTGGCCTCACATAGAATACTATTCCCATTTCTGGGCAGGGGCTCCCCAGTGCCAGCTCCTTCCTCTTGACCGCATCCAGCGCAGAGCGGCTCGAATCGTCGACGACCGAGCCCTTTCCGATCGGCTCGATTCATTGGCACTGCGAAGAGATGTTGCATCCCTTTGCATTTTCTTTCGCATCTACCATGGGGCGTGCTCTGAGGAATTTTTCGGATTAATCCCAGCCGCCAAATTTCATGAACGCATATCGCGGCAGAACTCTCGATACCATTCACACCATCTGGATGATTAGCGGTCCACCACTATGCGATTTAGAAGATGTTTTCTTCCTCGCACGACTTCCTTGTGGAATCGATTACCATCAGAAATTTTTCCGAACCGATACGTCTTAGGGATCTTCAAGAGCCTACTCCTCTTTAAAAGGCCGGCAACGCATCTGCAATTCCCCTGGTTCCCCTGGTGTTGCAGTTGTGCATGGGCGGCGGTAGTCACTTACCATCAGGTAAGCCGCATGCTCGTTTGCCCCCTCTCCTATAAAAAAATGTTGCAAATGTAATATTTAAATTTTCTTTTAAGGGTGGAGGCAAATAATTCTATATTTTTGCGGCTGAATATTTAAAACATCCTTTGAAGTTTTTAGTCTTATGGCATGGCATATTCAGCATGTTTGAGACTCTTTTACGTGTATTTACTTAATGGGCATTCTTTCTCCACTCTAATTTATTGTAAAAATACAGTGGACTTTTGTTATTCTTAATTTTTTGAACTAAGCAAGCCAAGTGGAGTTTCCTACGTTCGCGTGATCAGCGTGATACGATACAGTTGTGGGCCATAGACGGTATCGCAGTAATTAAAATGTGATAGCACTAACGACTCAACTAAGGTCTTCCTGATCGTTACTGTTAAGTATTTTCTTATGCTATATAAAACCTTTAAACGATAAAAAACATTACATATTTTAATATTTACATGTTCATTAAAGCGTAGTTGGCTATCGAGGGTAAGACCACTCTGAGTACCTTTTTATTGTCGATGAGTATTTCCGGTTTCTTAATATTTTTATAGTATATAGTATTTTACATTGTGTTTTACTTCCTAGCACCATATATTTTGATTTTAAAGGATTAGGTGTTAGACCATTTTTTTTTCCCATTGGAAGATTGCCGCCAAATGTTCATTTAACTGCATGACGGCATTTTCCGTCCGTTTTGGCTTGATCGAATAATAAATTTGAGTGTCGTTGGCTTACAGATGTATTTTACTATGTTTTTATACTTTGCTAATATCCGCTGTAAACAGTGTGAATTGAATAGGGCTTAAGATAGATCCTTGCGGAGTGCCTCTGGACGTTCTTTTTATACTTGATTGCATTACTTCCCCTTGGTCAGTGTTAATTTCAACATATTGACTTCTATTTGATAAGAATGAGTAAAACCATTTACATGTTGCTTCCGATACTCCTTATTATAACAGTTTCGCCAGAAGTATATCATGGTTTATGCAGTCGAAAGCTCTAGTAAAATCCAATAACACCAGTATACTACTCTTACCTTTATCATAATCTGCAGTTATATCATCCGTGACGTGCAGCAGAGCTGTTTCTGTACCATACCCTCGACGAAACCCGGATTGTGTTTCTGGTAGAATATGATTATCTTCTAGATATCTCTTTAACTGTGAACATACTACCCTCTCCAATATCTTGGAAAGTGTAGGTGAAATGCTAATTGGTCTGAAGTTATTAATTTCCTGTACATTTGGATTCTTAGGAATAGGTTTAATTTTGGTCAGTTTCCAAGGATCTGGAAAAATCTTAGTATGAATGGATTCGTTTATTATTTCTGTTATTATAGGTAAAGTTACCGGTAAAGATATACGAACCATATCTATATTAATTAAGTCGTGTCCACTGGCTTTAGTTCCAATTGTTGTAATTATTTTATAAACCTCAGATTCTGGTGCGGTTGCAATATTTATAGTTTTAAATTAAGTGTTATTTAATCGGTTGCTATTAAAGTAATTAAAAGTACTTTTATCTATTTCATTATCTCCTGGCACTTCTATAAAATAATTATTAATAGTATCGGGGTTCCCCACGGGCGATATTCGCTTCAGATGGCTCCACATAGTTTTTGAATTACCCTGATTTTTGTTAATTTAAAACGTGAAATAAGCTGACTTTTTTCTATTGATTGCGCTGTTTACTAAGTTTCTGAGACTTTTATAATAGTCATTGTGCGAATCCTTTCCTGAAGTTTTGGCACGATTATGAGCAGAGTCACGGAGTGTCATCATAAATTTTATATTGTCTGTAATCCAAGGTGTTGGTTTTCGTTTTAGCTTAATTAACTTTAAAGGTGCATGTATTTCGAAAGCGTCAAGCAACATACTACTAAACTGTTGAACTTTTTTGTGGATATTATTTTCCATTACAGTATCAACCAAGACCGATTTTCCATATGAGCTAAAAATGCATTTTGATTAATTTGTCCTAAAGACCTCGTGTGTATGTACAGCTGTCTCTCCTTAACTTTATTAACTTTAAGTCCGGAAATCACCATGGCATGGTCACTCAGTTCCCTGTTATGGTATATGTTAATACTTTTGCATAATTCTGTAGAATCGGTCAAAATAAGATCTAGAAGTGATTCTGTTTTATCACTAATGCGTGTTGCTTCATTAACAAGTTGAAAGAGTCCTTGCTGCGATAAAAATGTATTTAATTTGCACACCATTAATTTATCAGGTCGTAGGAGGTTGATGTTAAAATCAGTTAATAAAAACATGCAATCACAATATCCGAAAGTACTTACAGATTCACTTAATGCATCCATCGCAATCCCAATATCTACCAATTCTGGTATATTTAAATGGCAGGCAATTCATATTTCAATCACCAGATAAAATTACCTAATCCATCAAATAGGTTATAACCAGACAGATTAATATTAAAGTGAAACAATTCAATATCCTATGAATAACTCTTATTTGATTAGCATGCATACAGGTATAAGGGTGAATCGAGAGAGGTATTTTTTTACTTATTATAAGCCAGTGCTTAACCACAATCTCATATGGTGATAAGTGGTGATGAAGCCCTGTATGGTAAATCGTACCATGCTAGCGTGACAAGAACCTATTCACACTTGGATAGAAAAACACCCAGTTTTTAGACGAAGAAGCCGACGCTTGAAATTTATTCCACTCCTTTTCTACACGCATTACGAAAGACGAAACAAACCATTTGGTTCTAATGCGTGGAATATCGACAACAAAGGGGTGAAGACCAGCCGACAGCTTGATTGTCCGATGGCGGAAATGGTATGTCAGGAGAGTGCCAAATGGAAGTCTGTAATCTCTGCCTAACCCTTTTCGTAGCAGGCGTGAGTTTATGGTTACATTAATGTTATATCTGTTCCCCGCAACTTCGCCCGCGTTTAATTTATTACGATTGGATTTCATAGGTTTTATTTCTTTTGCGCCGAACCCTAATACTTTTTCTAAAATAAAAGTACTCCTTATAACATTAGCTATCTACTAGTGAAAGTCATGTCAAAATCGGTCCAGCCGTTTCGGAGATTAGCCGGAACAGACAGACAGATAGACAGACAGAAGTACAGACAGGCAAAATTTTTTAAAATTGTGTTTTTGTCATAAGTACCGTATAAAATTTCATATGCATATAGTAAAAATCATATAGTAAAAATTTGTATAGATGTAAAAATCAGCCCTCATGATGATATCGTTGTTTTAATTAATTTAGTTACAAACGTAAATAAAAATATAATAGTTAAAGGAATCGTTGATATTAAATATAATATTGAAAATGTCTACGTATCAACATTACATTTCTATGAAATGTCGACAGAAGAATACCGAGTATCGTGCATCAATATTTGCTTTGAACATTTTTCCGTACTCTGCAAGAGACAGCTTTTATCGGAGCATTTTGATATTACACTTCAAAGTTCTTTTACAGTTTTCTCATAATAATTTTTATTTTAGTCTGATTATGCTATATGTTACAATAAGTGTATCTATTTTCCCGTGTAGCTGCTGTCTAAGAGACTCCATCACCCGATGTCATCCCGTGGTTATCGTAAGAGGATATATGAAATAAAAAAAAGATCGGCGGCAGCATCTTCCTGATAACAAATCAATAAAACACTGCAGTTGACAAATCGTATGCTAAGTAGAGCCACCTTGTCAAATATCTTCCTACGGAATTTTAAGATTTCTCAGAACAAATTTAGGAACTAGTTTATTTTTAGTGAGATGTATCTTAATAATTATTTAAGTTAAAATCTACATTTACGATCTTATAAACAAACGGACAAATTAAATCACTCAGTAAGTAGTACTAGTATCAAATATGTGATTACTTGTTAAAATAGTGTTCTCTATGATAGAATTCGGTAAGCTAATTAATAATAAAGCTTATTATTGACTTTGGCAAACAAAATTATTACAATACGATTTCTACAAGCGTGTCTCGACTCTTGACATGAAACTACACTACGTGGTAGAGCCATGTTGCAGCTATATTACAGTATAGTTGTAGCACGAATGGGTCGGCTCAACCGGGGAAGGACCACGCTCTCACAGAATACCAGCGTCAAATAGCATCTTAACACTGCTGTGTTTCGTATGGTGAGTGTAGAGAACCGGAGACCCTTTTTACTGGAAAAGAGGCATTCCATCTTAGTCCTCACGGATGACAACGTATCTGCATTTTGATTTGCAAACGAGGATAAATGTAGATGTCTATGGGCCACAGCAACTACTTACCATCAGGTGGACTGTGTGCTCGTTTGTTAAAAAACTAAAAAGAAAGTCCCGGGACTGGAGACAATTTAATTTATAAAAAGTCTTGGGACTTCGGAACTCGAGACTTCCCGGGACCCAAACCATATTTTATCTAAGAAGCTCAATGGTTAACACAGTTATTTCAAAAACCCGACTGTGTAAAAAAGTTTACTAAAAAGAGAAAAAAATTATGTCCTATGTCACCTTTAAAATTAGACAATCTAATGTCGCCCATTCTGGTAAGATCCATTAAAAAACAGCTTGATATATATACATTTGAAAAACATTACCCTCTTTCTCGTGCAGTGGGGTAAAAGTAAGGGTGGAAGATATGACTATTATCATATTGTTGTGTTGTTAATTTGTGTAACATCATGATGGTAAGCTGTTATTTAAAAAAAAAAAGTCCCGCTGGGTTTCTTGCTAGTTCTTCCCAGTACAGAGGTTTTTTCCAAATCAGTGGTAATCAAACAAAAGAGTGACTTTCAATAAGTATTATTTATAATCTATATTGAATTAAAAAACTTTCTGTTTCTGTTTCTATTACAGCTTGCACTCCTTTCCACACATTGAAATGTATTTGCTAGCGTACTTCTTAATCGATTCATTCCTATTTCAGAGGCGTTGATATTATTTTTGTTTGCCAATTTTGTTTAAGCTCAGAAAGGGCTACTTCTTAAGCAATCTTTTGCGTACGTCAGCTGCAGGAAAAAATCACGAGCAGCATCGACGAACGTCATTTCTGAAGTGTAGCTTTATGGATCTTATTGTAAAAGGGTTGTTAGAAAAATTTGTTTTTTATTGTATGGAGGTTATGTTAAATATTGGCTACATTAATATTGAGGTATATTAATAATAGTCAGTATATTGTAGTTTCTACATGATGGAATGGCCGACATTTCTATGGATTTGAGCAAACAGAAATTTTCCCTGTTACCTTTGGTGTGAAACAAGGTCGTATTCTAGCGCCAAAGTTGTTTGCTCTCAATAGCACAGTATTTTCATTTTATGAAGTAAAAACTCTGCAGAAATGCATATGTATTCGTTTCCACGCTTAAATTACGTACGCAGAAAAAACGTAACATACGTATATACGTTATAAGAAGCATCGTACTTGTCACAAATAGCGTTGACCGCTCCCTAGGCGGATAGTTTTACCAAGCGGCTGTTCTATTACCTATCGACGATTAAAGTTACATCTATGATTAGAGTTGGTGTAATGGGTTCTCCATCATACACCGTTGTACATCGTATGGCAAAAATTATAGATAAAATTGTTTATTATTCTCCGCTCGTAAAAGAGAAACCATTATTCCTGTGGATTATAGTGAAGAAAGACTTTTATTGACACTAAGCACTAATAAAACTATACATTATTTCTTTAGAAAAGCACTTATTTTTCTGTTTTAATTTATAGTCACATAAAGTCTGTTTTTATTCCAATCGCATGTGAATTTTCGAACATTAAAAGTGAGATAAAGCACAGTGAAGACAGGCAATAGTGGAATGACCAACATGTTATACGTTTGAATGTGAAAGAATAGTCATAATCTTTAATTGTATTTGTCTACAGCACGTGTCACATTGTAAATAGATTGAACAATTATTTACTTGCATACTGCCGCTCGGTTGAACTTTTGGGCTTACGGAAAATCAGCGATGCATCTACAACTACTCGCTAAAATGCCCTAAAGAGATGCGTGCGCGAGTGTACGTAAACGTGTGCGTATGTAAGTGTAGACGCGATTTGAGCGACTGAGCGCGCGCGCGCGCATCGTGTGCGTGTGTATGTGTGTGTGTGTATGTGAGAGAGAGAGAGTGTGTGAGTGTGTGTGCGTGTGTGTGTGTGTGTGTGTGTGTGTGTGTGTGTTTGTTTGTTTGACAATCAAATAAGAATGTCACTTTCAGGTAATCGATACGCATGTTCCATAGAAAACGTTATTCTACTTCTTTTTCTTCAACAGCCCGTAAAATTTTACGAGTATGGGCCTTCTCCCATTGTGGACATGATTTGCCTTAATATTCCTCTAGATCGAATTTTGGTCACGGTGACAATTCTCAACGGAGACTAGCGATAT